CGCCGGGGCAGCCCCGCTCCGCCCCGCCCGCCCGGGGCCGCCTCTCCCCCCCGTTAAAAGGCGCGGGCAGAGCCGGCGAGACCCACTGTCGCCTCCCGCTGTCGCGGTGTCGCGGTGGTGTCGCGGTGCCCGGGCCATGCGCCGCGCGCTCCTGGCGCTCCTGGTCGCTGCTGTCGCTGCCGTCGGGGCCGCCCCCGGTCCCGCGTGTCCCGTCACGACACCGGACGAAGCCGGGACACGGTCCCGCGTGGGGCCGGCCCCGAGGAGAGCCAAGGTACGGCCGGACCGAGACACGGCGGACCGGGATGGGCTGGGACCGGGACGGAGCGGGGTGGACAGGGATGGGCTGGGATAAGGATGGACAAGGATGGACCGGGACATACCAGACCGGGGTGGACCGGGCCGGGCCGGGCCAAGGATGGACAAGGATGGATGGGGACACACCGGACCAGGACAGGACGAGACTGACCGGGATCGGCTGGGACCGGGATACACCAGACCTAGACGGGCTGGGCCAGGGGCGGGCCGGGCCGGGCTCCCCCTCCGCCTCCCGGGGCATCGCCGGGACCCGCCCCGAGGGGGCGACCGGGGCCACAGGCGGCCGGGACCCTGCGAGGTGTGTGGGGGGGAACAGGGGACGGGGGGGGGCGCTGGTACCGAACCCACAGACACCGGGGTGCACTGAGCTGGCATGGGCACGGTGCTGGGGGCACCGGCACGGGGTGGGTGGGGGGTGCTGGGGGGCACCGGGATGCCGGTCCCCTGCCCCAGTGCCCCGCTTCCCCGCAGCGCTTTGCCTCGGTGCCGCGGTACGTGGAGATGCTGGTGGTGGCGGACGAGTCAATGGCCCAGTTCCATGGCGCCGGGCTCCGGCGGTACCTGCTGACGGTGCTGGCGGCGGCCGCCCGGTCCTTCCGGCACAGTAGTCTGGGCAACGCGGTGGAGCTGCGGGTGACGCGGCTGGTGGTGCTGGGCCAGGGTACCCCCGGGCCCCCCACCACTCCCAACGCTGCCCAGATGCTCCGCAACTTCTGCCAGTGGCAGAAGGGGCTCAACGTCCCCAACGAGGACAGTCCCCTCCACTTTGACACCGCCATCCTCTTCACGCGGCAGGTGTGTGTGGGGTGACAGCTGGGGGGTTGCTGGGGGGCTCCAGGAGTGCTGCAGGGCTGTTTGGGGTCCCTGCAGGGTTGTTGGGAGCTGGCAGGGTCCCTGGGTGTCCCCCAAGGTGTTTGGGTGCTGGCCAAGCCCCTGGGGTGTCCATGGGTTTCAGGGCTGGTGGGGTCCCTGGGGCCCATCCCAGGGAGTTTGGGTGCTGGCTGGGTTTGTAGGTGTCCCCAAGACCCTCCCCACACACCCTGCCTGCCACCAGGACCTGTGTGGGGCAGCCACCTGTGACACACTGGGCATGGCTGATGTGGGCACCATCTGTGACCCCGAGCGGAGCTGTGCCATCGTGGAGGACGACGGGCTGCAGTCAGCATTCACGGCTGCACATGAGCTGGGTGAGCAGCAGGAGCCTGCGGGGCTGGGGGTGGGGCGCTGCCACCCATGATTGCCCCTAGGGCTGACACCACCATCCCCCGGCACAGGCCACATCTTCAACATGCTGCATGACACCTCCCAGCCCTGCCGGGAGCTGAACAGCCGCTCTGGAGCCACCCGCCGCGTGATGGCTCCTGTCCTCTCCTCACTGGAGCCTGGTGAGATGTGGTCCCCATGCAGCGCCCACTTCATCACCGACTTCTTGGACAACGGCCATGGTATGACCCGGCACAGGTGGTCTCAGTGCAGGGGGTCCCAATACCCTCAGGGACCCCTGGTGCAGCGGTGCCGTGTCCCCGCAGGTCAATGCCTACTGGACAAGCCTTCGGAGTGGCTGCAGCTGCCCTCGGTGCTGCCAGGCAGCATCTACCCGGTGCTGCGGCAATGCCAGCTTGCCTTTGGGCCCGACTCGCGGCACTGCGGTGACCTGCAGCCACCCTGCGCCTCGCTGTGGTGCACCGGCCGTGTCAGCGGCCGCTCCGTCTGCCAGACGAAGCACTTCCCCTGGGCTGACGGCACTCCATGTGCGCCGGGCAGAGTCTGCATGGATGGGCTCTGTGTCGGCATCAGCCACATGCAGAAGCTCACCGTGAGTCCCAGTGGGGCAGCGTGGGGTGGGTGGTGGGGTGGGCACTCACCTGCCAGTAGCGGGGTTTGACCCCCCCATTGCGTTTTCTGGCTGCAGACACCTGTGGATGGCGGATGGGGACCATGGGGACCGTGGGGTGGGTGCTCACGGACCTGCGGTGGTGGCGTCCAGCTCTCCCACCGCAACTGCACCGCGCCAGCACCTCGCCACGGTGGCCAGTACTGTGAGGGCAAGCGCACCCGCTTCCAGTCCTGCAACGTGGAGGAGTGTCCTGGCAGCACCCGTGAGTGGGGCTGGTGGCGGTGGGGGAGAGCAGGGTTATCACTGGTCCCTGGCATGGGCTGTGGGGGTGGCTGGGGGCTGCCGCCAGTGCTGACTGTGCCCCACTGCTGCCGGCAGCCCTCACCTTCCGGGAGGAGCAATGTGCCACCTACAACCATCGCCCTGACCTTGTCAGGGGGCTCCTGGCCCCCCAGGACTGGGTGCCACGCTACAGCGGTGTCTCCGAACAGGACCAGTGTAAGCTGATCTGCCAATCCCAAACCCTGGGCTACTACCATGTGCTACAGCCGAGGGTGAGTGTCCCCCCACCTGCCGGGCGCCCCAGGATGCCTCCGGCAGGTGCTGAGACTGTGCTGTGCCGCAGGTGGCTGACGGGACACCCTGCTCCCCTGAGAGCACAGGGGTGTGTGTGCAGGGTCGCTGCATCCCCGCTGGTTGTGACCGCATCATCGGCTCCAAGAAGAAGTTTGATAAATGCATGACGTGTGGCGGTGACGGCTCTGGCTGCACCAAGGTCTATGGCTCCTTCACCAAACCCCAGTAAGCACCTCAGCAGTGGTAGGGGGGTGGGGGGGATGCCACCTGTGGGCTGCCATCATCCCCCCCCTCCAACCCCGCTGTGCCCCGCAGCTATGGCTACAACGACGTGGTGACCATCCCGGCGGGTGCCACACACCTCCTGGTCCGGCAGATCTCAGCGGCAGGCAGCGAGGACATCTTCCTGGCACTGCGGCGGCCGGCCGGTGGCTCCCTGCTCAATGGCGGCTACGTCCTGGTGCCCTCCCCAACTGATGTGGTGCTGGCAGGCGGCGTGACCCTGCGCTACAGCGGTGCCACAGCGGCCACCGAGATGCTGACAGGCCGGGGGCCGCTGCGCGAACCGCTGGTGCTGCAGGTGCTGGTGGTGGACGAGCAGCACCCACCGCGCTTGAAATACAGCTTCTTCGTGCCCCGGGCACAGAGACACCCGTCGGCAGCCTGGGAGAAGCAGAAAGCTGAGATCCTGGAGATCCTCAGGAGCCGCCAGCGACACAAGTAGCGGCATGAGCCTGGCTGGGACGTGGCTCTGCCAGAGTGATCCCAGCGGCCACTGCAGCGCCTATTTATTTGGTTATTTATTGCCCACCAGGAGCGGGGGCACCGTCCATGGGATGGCATTGCGCAGCCCCTCAGCAAAGCCCTGGCGGGCTCATGCCATGCATGGGACCAGCCGCAGTGCAGGTAACCACATCTACCTCAGCCCCTCCATGGGCAGAGTGGGGTGACCCCCTGGGCAGGCCCCAGGGCCGCCCCCTCCCCAGCTGCAGCCCCCCCGCCGGCACAGCCACCCAGCTGTAATTTATTGCAGTGCCGTTATTTAAAGCTATTTATGGAGCCAGCTAGCATGGTGTGTGGTGATTGGCATGGTGGTGCCAGGCACCGCAATGTCCCTCGGGCGCAGCTGCATTGACTCTCCGTTACTGCTCCCAGCACAGTCCCAGCATCTTTCCCTGGCATCTTCCCCCCCCCACCCCCAGGGTGCCACCAGCGCTCCCCAAGAACAGGCCACCACCAGCCTTGCCCAGAATGGGACTTTATTGGGTGCCTCCTCCCAGCTGTGTGCAGCCCCCCAGGGTGGCCAGAGGTCTGTACCTGTCTCTCGAGACGGCAGCCAGAGCTGCTGGCACACAGGGCCCTGCTGCCAGCCTGCTCTGAGACATCCCGGGGTGGACAATCCTACCCCGCTGCACTCCAAGGACAGCGGGGCCAGGCACCCACTCTGCCGGAAAGCCCCAGGAGCTCGTTGCTGCACTGGCTTGGTGCTGCCAGGGAAATGCCCTGGCTTTGGGGGCAGCCAATTCACCCCTGGGTGGGCAGAGGGCTCACGTGGCCGGGCACGGAGGCAGTGAAGCTCAGTCACGGCTTCGCATCCCGGCATGAAGCTGTCATCGGTGTGTTTCCAGCATCCTCTCACGTGCCAAGTACAGGGAGCTCAGACATAGCGGCTGGGCAGGGGGCTGTACATGGGACCCGTGCCTGGGGCGGTGCTGCAGCTCCAGGGGAAGAGCCAGCAGAGCACGAAACCTGGCCAGAGGGAAGGGGAGAGGCATGAACCGTGCTGGGATCCCTGGCCCCAGCCCCACAAAACTCCCCGGCCCCACGCACCTCGCCCGAACACCTCCCGCAGCAGCACCAGTTTGGGTTTCAGGGGACGTGGCCCCTCCCGGTTCATCTCCTTCAACCCCCGATTGCGGAGCTGCTCCAGGGGCGTCTTGTCCGTGATGATCGACACGACCTGGGGGTAACGGGGTTGTCACTGCCAGCACACAGCCACCCCTGCTCATGCCGGTGCACCCCCCCATCCCCGGCTTGTGCCTGTGCTCCCAGCCACCACCTCTGCCCCACTAACCTGATCATAAAACACGACGGTGACAAAGGCTCCGAAGAAGAGGGACTCTAGCAGCAGGATAATGCAGTGAGCCCTGGGAAGGCAGGGGCGGGTCAGAGCGGGGCCAGGGGCCGGAGTCGACATGGGGCAGCCCAGAGCCCATCCCTGCTGCGCCCAGGGCAGGCCCAGGGTCCCAACATGGCGCCGCCACCCTGGCCCTCCCCTCCTGTTGCAAGCTCCTCTGCAGAGGAGGGAGACGGGACCCCCACGCTGCCCCCACTCACGTCTGGACACGGTTGTTGGCAACATCTCCTCCCGCTGCCATCCCTGCCGGGCTCCTGCCCACCGGTCCCAGCCAGGCGGCCAGCACCAGTCCTGCAGCGTAGAGACTAGCCAGCCCTGGCACAGAGCAAGCAGTGAGTGTGTGGGCAGCAAGCACCCTCCCCGACCCACATCACATCCCCCCAGAGCTGCCTGCTGCCATGGGGCTGGGCACCCTGACAGGCCCCTGGGAGCCCCCAGCCTCACCAGGCCATCCCCAGCAGTGGGTGGGTGTTACCCAGCCCTTCACCCACCCCATCACCCACCTCCTGCCCACAAGAAGCCCCAGGAGTGGGGCTGCCCCACAGGGAATGGGGACCCCCGCACGAGCACTCACCGGCGTAGAAGAGGAACTGTATGAAGTATTTCTGGTTTAACTCCCCGACGCAGTTGTTGATCCTATGGATGGATAGACAGACGGGTGATGGGTGTCTTGCTGTCCCTGGTCCCCTCTCGGAGCACTCTCCGGTGCCCAGGGACTGGAACGAGCCGTGGCAGAGCCCCTCGTGCCCCGGCACGAGGCCGTGCCGAAGGTGCCTACCAGGGGCAGTGGTGGTCCATGCGGCGCACACAGCGGTGGCAGATGCGGCAGTGGTGGGCGCGAGGCGGTCGGTATGCCTCGCAGCGGTCACACACCGTCCAGTCCTCCTGGCTCTGCTGGGACGGTGCTCAGCGGGGACCGGACGCCGGGGTCGCTCCCGGCTGAGCGGGGCCGCAGCGCAGCCCCTCACCCCCATCTCGCCCCACCGGACCCCCCGGCCGCCCCCTCGGCTCCCCGGCCTCACCCGCTCGGGCTTCCGCGGGGCCGCACTGCGCAGGTCGGAGAAGTCGATGGCCGTGTCGGGGAGGGGAACTACGCCTGGGGGGCGGCGGAGAGGGGGGGGTAAGGTGAGCACCCCCCTCGCCGGGACGCAACGGCACAGCCACCCCCGCAGC